TTCAAACTGAACTGAGGGTGCCGAAGTGCAAGTTTGGACCGGAGAAACAGAAATCAGGATTTGGACAGAGCCTTGGTACAAATATTAGCTACCTGATCCTGGGAGCAAACAAAATGCAGAGAAAGGTCATTTGCCAAAACCTTTTCCCGGATGTAGTGATAGTCCAATTCAACATGCTTAGTGCGAGCATGGAAAATAGGATTCTTGGCAAGAGAGATAGCCGATATATTGTCACACCACAGCCGTGGTACACAGGGTAGTGGAAGACCAATATCACTAATAAGTTTGCATATCCAAGATAATTCGGCAGCAGTGTTAGCCAACGACCGATATTCAGCCTCTGTAGAGGACCGAGCCACGATGGATTGCTTCTTAGCACTCCAACTAATGATAGAATTCCCCAGAAAAATGCAGAAACCACCAGTTGAACAGCGATCTATGGAGCAGCCTGCCCAATCAGCATCGGAATAAGCAGTGATATAGGGTGGTGAAGAACTTTTAGAAAACCAAAGTCCACACTCAATGGATCCCTTGAGATAACGCAGAATGCGTTTCACAGCTTGAAGATGAGACATACGAGGACAGTGCATAAACTGGCAAACAAGATTCACTGCAAAAGAGAGATCGAGCCGAGTCCATGTGAGATACTGAAGAGCACCAACAAGAGATCGATATTCAGTAGGATCATCCAAGAGAGGAGAAGAGTGATCAAGATTTGATGTACTCAGGGGAGTGACACAGGGTTTGGCACCATCCATTTTGGCCTTGTGCAACAGGTCCAGGATGTATTTCGACTGAGAGATGAAAATACCCTGAGAAGAACGCTTGACTTCAATGCCAAGAAAATAATGTAAAGAACCAAGATCTTTGATGGGAAAGAGAACACTGAGTTGATCAATAACATGCTTGCAGGCTAAAGAAGAAGGGCCTGTGACAAGGATGTCATCAACGTAGACAAGTAGAAACACCAAGTGAGGATCCTTCTTAACAAACAATGAATGATCCGATTGTGAGCCAACGAATCCCAAGGAGAGTAAGGCACCATGTAGTTTATCATACCAAGCTCAAGGAGCTTGTTTGAGGCCATACAACGATTTATGAAGTCGGCAAACAGAGTCAGGTTGTGTAGAATCCTGAAATCCTGGAGGTTGTTGCATGAATACAATTTCTGTAAGAGTACCATGCAGAAAAGCATTGCTGACATCAAGTTGGTTGAGAAACCAATCATATTGAGCAGCCAAAGTGAGTAAAAGACGAATGGTGACAGGTTTGGCAACAGGACTGAAAGTCTCTGTGTAGTCTAGCCCTTCCTGTTGATGAAAACCCTTTGCAACCAATCGGGCCTTATACCTATCTATAGATCCATCAGGCTTGCGTTTGATACAAAATACCCACTTGCAACCTACTAAATTTTGAGAAGGAGAATAGGGAACCAAGGACCAGGTACCATTATTGAGAAGAGCGTTGAACTCTTCTTGCATTGCCTGTCTCCAGTGGGAATATTTGGATGCCTGATGATAGGTAGTAGGAACAAAGTCAACACTAAGATGAGATGGCAGAGTATGTTTAGTTGCAAGCAAGGCTTTAGGTTTGAAGATGCCAGATTTGGAACGAGTCTGCATAGGATGAAGGTTGAGAGAAGAAGAGGTCAGTGGTATAGAAGGGATATGTGGGTGTTGGGATGAAATATGTGCAGAAGAGGAATTTGGTAAGGAATGTGAATTTGGAGATATATGAAGGTTTTGGGATGGAGATGTAGATGGGGGATGAGATGAAAGTGGGAAAGGAGAGGTATGGGGTGATGATGACTGGGAAGTTTGAAAAGAATTGAATGTGAGATGAGATGGTATTGTATGTACTGGTGAGGAAGATATAGGCTGAGAGGATGCAACGGGTAAAGGATTATGGAAAGGGAAATTGTGCTCATCAAAAATGACATGCCGGGATATATAGATTAGGTGAGATAAAGGATCCAGGCATTTATACCCTCTGTGATTTAAACTGTACCCCAAGAAAACACAATGTTTGCTCTTTGGTTCTAGCTTAGAGGTAGTGTAAGGCTTCAGCCAAGGAAAGCAACTACAACCAAAGACTTTGAGAGAAGCATACGCTGGAGCTTTCTTGAATAAAGATTCCCATGGAGATACAGTATGAGCAGTAGGCATCCGGTTGATGAGATAAACTGCTGTAGAAAATGCATGATCCCAATATCGATGTGGAACTTTAGATACTGTCAATAGAGTACGGGCAGTTTCAACAAGATGTCGATGCTTGCGCTCAGCACACCCATTCTGCTCAGGGGTGTGAGGACAGCTGAATTGGTGTGTAATACCATGGTCAAGTAAGAACTGTGAGAACTTGGAGCTTAAGAATTCTCCACCAGAATCCGAACGAATAGAGATAACTTTGACACCCAACTTATTTTCAATAAGAGACTTGAAGTGAACAAATGTAGAAAGAACATCAGATTTGAACTGCAAAGGATAAAGCCAAGAATACTTTGTATAGTCATCAACAATGATCACATAGTATCGAAAACCATGTACAGAAGAAATAGGAGCTGGTCCCCAGACATCCATGTGAAGAAGCTCTAAAGGCTTGCTTGTAGTACAAGAACTAGAAACAAAAGGAAGCTTAGAGCTTTTGCTTACAGCACAATCTGAACAAAAAGTGTTATTCATAGTATGAGACATAGAAATACATGAAGTAGAAGCCAATTTATTTAAAATTTTGGTAGATGGATGGCCAAGTCTCTTGTGCCAAAGATCCTGAGAAGCCATTGTTGTAGCAGCAAACAAGTGTGGAGAACTAGGAGCAGGAGACGAAGGATGAAAAGGGTAGAATCCATCACGAACTGGTCCACTAAAAAGCATCTTCCCCGAAGAAATATCCTTCACAGTGAAGTGAAAAGGATAAAGATGCATGGAACACCAGTTGTCAAGAAGAAATTGATTCGCAGATAATAAATTTTGCTTTAAATCAGGCACATGAAGAACATTTTTCAACTGAAAACAATGGTGATCAGTATTTAAAGAAGAAGAACCAGAGTGATGAATGGGCAAACCTTTGCCATCACCAATGTAGACCTGCTCAGGACCACGATAAGGCTCAGGATTTTGCAGATTTGTGTAGTTATTTGTCATGTGAGAACTGGCGCCAGAATCAACGAGCCAAGTAGAAGCAGATGAAGTAGAAGTAGTATGAGCAACCATAGCAGAGTGAGAAGAAGATCCAGTGTAGCTAGGATTCATGCGTTGGGGACAGTCAAAAGCTTCATGATCATATTGACGGCAGATTTGGCAAGAAGGACGTTTGCCAGAGAATGACCGACCACCACGAGAAGAGCGCTGATTATTCGACCGGTAATAGGTGCGTTGAGAGTTGCCTCTGAAATTGCCCCTGCCTTGGAAATTTCTAGGGTTTGAAGAACTGCCACGATTTTAAGAGTAAGTAGAAGAACGACCTTGAGAGAAAGGCTGTGAAGAATAAACCGGAGCAGTGAAAGCCTGATGAGCCATAGGTGGTGTGGGAAGAATACCCGTAGAAGAATTAAAGCCTGGAAAGGAGCAGTGAGAGGCGATTTCTTGCGATTATTCAACTGAATTTCTTTACTCAGAAGAAGACCATGCAGTTTATCAATGGTAGTCGATCCGATACGAATTGAACAGCATCAACAAAGGAGTCATACTCCGATGATAGGCCATGAAGTGTGACAGAAATGAGCTCGGAATCGGCCACCGGAGCGCCAGCACTGGCAAGAGCATCTGCGATTTCCTCAATTTGTTGGAGAAATTGAGTAGCAGTAGATTCACCTTTTGTAATTGTGCATAGACGCGATCGAAGATCATGAATGTGAGATTGAGAAGCAGCACCCAATCGTGACTCCAATTTTGCCCAAAGTTCGCGAGAAGAATTAACTCCAACAGTGTAAGGAATTAGGGTTTCAGACAATGTGGAATTGAGCCAAATGAGAATGTTTTGATCATTTTCATACCAAGAAACATAATCAGGATTGATGAGAGACGTGCGATTGCCAGAGTCATCCAATAGCATTTGAGACGGCGGAGGCGTTGAGCCATCAACAATGCCGGTGAGATTGTAGCGGCGAAAAATTGGAGCAAACAAAGCACTCCAGGTAAGGTAATTGGTAGTGGTAAGCTTAATTGGTACCATAGATCCAATATTTTGAATTGTGATGGAGGAAGTCACCGGAGGAGAGACCGTGACAGAGGACGGAGGTTGATGACCATGAGTAGTAGAGTCAGACGAAGAAGCAGGAACCGCCATTGATGCACAGAGTTAGGGTTTGGGAGATCAAGACGGCGATCGCAAGTAGAAGAAAGGAAGAAGAAAGGTCGCAAGGCGGTGAAGCGTGTTTGGATCAGGTCGTAAGACAGAAGGCGGTTGATACCATATTGAGAAATAATCTTTTTCATTAACCTTTGATTATAATACAACCTGTATATATACAAGTATATGGAAAACCATCTAACAAACTTAACTTTCTATCCAATATCTAAGTAGGATCTTTATTACCTACATTTACATTTATACCCTCAATACGTGTTACCCACGTGTATACCCGTTATTAACGGGTTGTTAACGGGTCACCGGATAATGACCCGATAAGTTATCTTGTTGATCCGAAACCTGTTATTTTCATGTCTTTTTCACATCGTGTCAGAAATTGCCGGGTCTAACTTCATCCATCCATCTTGTACTTTACAAGGCTGCAGCAAAAAAATAATTCATTTAGAATCTGCTAATGTTTAGGCATCTAGCAAGTGATGAACTGCTTTAATAGGTAGGGCATTTATTTTTAACTCATTGTGTTCCAAACTCAAATATAAATTAGTATAGAATACCATTTACACTCGTAAAAATAAAATTTCTAGGCAGCTATTACCTAAAAGTATCATCAGAGCACCAAGCACATAATCCTAAATGATAAACCCACCAAAGCATTGTTTGGTGGAATGAAAGACACGTGTATTAAAGACAGGTGTACTACTGGCCAAGTAAACGTAGCCTTTGTTCCTGCGGTTTTCCACAACTAACTTTGCATGTTCATCTCATCATCTCTCCCAATACAAACCTTCGGCCACAAACAAAAAGCCAATAATAATTCAGTGAATTAATAAGATGGGATCCGAGACATTCCTAGAAGTCTTGTGTGCCATTTTTCTTCCACCAGTTGGTGTCTTCATTCGCTATGGCTGCGGGGTAAGTCACATCATTCTTACCATTTGTATTGAGATCGAGTTCTTTTACATTTACTATCTCAACTAGCGATCTAGTAATCTATCTAACCGAAGTTAGAATTTGTGATGCACACATTTGAGAGAAGAAAAAAAAAATTATCATTAGGTACATACAATTATGTATCTATCTTCATTCGGTAATTTGAATGAGTTAGTTTCAAAAGTTACGAGGAAAAACAACTTTTGTTTATAAAAATTATGTGGTTATATTTCAGTCACATGATTAGAATTCATTGCATATAGTTTTATCTCTATCCTCACGTGGCTAGAGATAGTACAAAATAGTTTTATCATCGTCATTTTTATTTTGGGATATTGCAGGTGGAGTTTTGGATTGCCGTATTGCTGACGCTGTTTGGATATATACCAGGAATTATATATGCAGTTTATGTCTTGGTTGTATAAACTTGCTAATTAATTATTCAAGTTTTTATTGGATCAAATAAATGGCTTGTTTAGTTATAGGTATTAGATATAGTACAATGTACATTCATTTTTAATTAGTGATCAATTTGTGTGATGTGTGATCTGATGGACATATTTTAAGATCAAAGTCTTTCATTTTTGTCAAGTTTTCATCTCCCGCATGCTTATAAAAAACGCAAGAAGGTATGGGCTGAATGAAGCTTTGTGAATTAACCATCACGGGTGTTTCAGTAGTTGGGGAGAATTTCAGGCACACGTTGGTCTTGAGTTCGATTTCTAGTGTTGATGAATTACACACGATGTTGGTAAGAGAAATGCTAAAATGTCTCTGTAAATCTTTCCATAAAACTTACACATTATACATGTTTAATACTAATTGAATATTTTTTTCATCATTTCTTTTCTGATCAACGGATTCAAATTTGAAATTTTTTTTATACTGAGAAAAAAAAATATTACTAAACTCGAGCTACAGTAATACTGATATGATGATAGTGACAATATAAAACAATCATAATGCAAAATGCAAGTTCGTTAAGCAAAGGCATTATTTTGTTTCCTTAGCAGTTGGAGAAATGATGTAATTTACAGACAAAGATCCCCACCTCCACCCTCCTTCCCTATCTCATTTTGATCATTGTACAAGCAACAAACCAATTTACGTATAAAAAATAAAAAACCTAATCGGATGAATGGATGACTGGGCTATGATACATCAAGTTGTTGTGGACATGTACGTACTAAATGCCCTCTCCCTTTCAGAGAAGTCTTAAAGTTAAAACAACAACCGAAGCCTTAGTTTCTAGTGCAACTTTTGAGCAATGAGTGCGACTTTCCCTTTGCTTTTCCAGATCGATCTTTTGCTTTTACCTCGTTCTGTTCGAGGATATGAACAAAATTATAACCTATTTTTATGATATTTATAAACAGGCGACCTTTTGCTTCCACTTACGTTTGACATGATAGAATTAAAGAAATGAATGCACCATTCTTTAATTTATATCGACTCATGCCATGCACACTGCGAGGACACTTGACAACGCTTTGATATAATGGGAAGGCTATCTTCTTTGTTTTTTTTTGCATTTTTATAAGCTTTTATTGTGGACTAAGTTGGTTGCCCATGTGTGCGTTTGGTGAATCCTACCTTTGGATATACTGTGGGTCTTGCTTGCTTCAATAATAAGTGTGATTCAATAATAAGGAATCGCACGCCTGCGTACGAACAACTGATTGTAGCATTAGCACAAGATAATTTTGTGTTTGGTTATTCATACGAGGCACCAGACACAAGGAGGATGAGAGGTTTTGTGTGTGCAGTAAGACGATCACGTGGTCTCTGGGCGTTCACACCTAAGAATTCACTCAATGCTGTTACTTCAAAAAAATTAGAATGCTCAAAGCAAACATATACTCCATCCTAACACGAGAATATAGTGATAATAAATAACAATACTGAGATCTATGAGTTTGATCATTGGAATGACCGATTGTAGCAATAACACGAGAGAATTTTGTGTCCGAACACTTGTTTAGGGCATTAGACAAAAGGACGTAGGTTCACAAAGGAGGGGGGGGATTGAGCACTTTGAGTGTGTGATCAGAAAACAACATGATCTACCCATGAATTTCTCCAATAACGCTACGATTCATCATGCAGAAGGAACTATTTTCTAAACCAAATGCATTACTCCTTAATAACTGCACTGACTTGACAAAGCTAGAAAGCCTATAGTTTGAGCATACTAATAACTGCAAGTACAAAGTGGTTTGCCCATAATTGGTGCAATTTTTTTTTGTTGGGTGGGGGGGGACCCCATGGAAGAAAGGACCTAACTAGTTAGCTAATTACCAGCCATTTGTGTCTCGTAAACCCTAAGTAAAAGACTTAGCACATGTGATGGTTGAAAATGCATCCATAGCCTAATCAATCTATGTCTTATCAGTCATTATATATCAGTTGCATTGATCGGTTGCATTGACCAAACAAGAGTCCTAGGTCAAAGGAAGGACAAGAAAGTTCCAAGTAACAATTGGGGATCAACAAATTGGTGAGTTTATAGCATCCAATGGGCTCTAAAACCATTGAAGAAAACTTGAAAAAATTGAAGCTTTGAAACCATTGAAGAAAACTTGAAAAAATTGAAGCTTTGACAAATCCAAGTGTGTCCCAATTGCTTGTGCAAACCAGCCGTTTAGAGCTGTGGATATGTGAAGGATGATATGCCTTAATTCAATGAACTAAATTGGAAACATGGGAATTGAAAACTGAGAAGAACTAACATCTCTTCATTATTTTAAAGTAGTTATAATTTGAAAGTCTTATAAACACTATTGAAAATTGGGGTCATGAATAATCTCCGAACCTAATTAATCATGAATCTTTATTAAGTAATATTATTTCTGTCACCCCTAAGCTCTTTCACACTGGGCAGAAATATTGGGTTTGATTCTAATTTTATAAGAATCAAACTCCTGCAGTAGAACACAAAATTAGTTTTATGGGAGTAAAGGTTGGGGATTATAAAATAGTAGAAAAAATAGATGGGTTCCACTATGTTAAAATGTCCCACATCGACCGTATCAATGAGAAAATAAGAGTTTTAATATCATAACCCCACTTCAACTAACATCGAGGCCTTTTGTGATAAAACCTCACACCTGACGGATTGTGTAGGTGGTAATTACTAAGTTGGGAACAATATCGGTGTTGTTAGAAGTGGGCCGTATGGTCCGTCTCTTTGATAATTATACATGGTATCGGCCAAGGAGCGAGCCCGTACTATACTGCCACATGATGGGTGGGTCCCGTGTGTAGGGTGGCTCCACGTGGTTGTCGATGTGTGGATCTCCCATGTGTGACCCAATGTGTTGAAATGTCCCACATCGATCGTATCAATGAGAAAATAAGAGTTTAAATATCATAACCTCACTCCAACTAACATGTGGAAACAAATTATTGGGATTACCTTAAGGGTTGGTTTGGTATTGTTTGATAATTCTACATGGTATCGGCCAGGGAGCGGGCCCGTACTATACTGCCACATGATGGGTGGGTCCCCTTGGCCCCGTGTGTAGGGTGGCTCCACGTGGTTGTCGATGTGTGGATCTCCCATGTGTGACCCAATGTGTTGAAATGTCTCACATCGATCGTATCAATGAGAAAATAAGAGTTTAAATATCATAACCTCACTCCAACTAACACCTGGAAACAAATTATTGGGATTACCTTAAGGGTTGGTTTGGTATTGTTGTGCTTTGAAAAAAAAACTATTTTTGCTGTGCTATGAAAATAAGCACATTTTTGCTGCTTCACGTTTTTAACTTTTTTTCACCCAAAACTGTGAAAATAAGATGTTTTTAAGTGTTTACCAAATATTTTTTTTAGCTCAGTTTTTTTTATACCCACTTTTTATAAAAGCACCTCAGTACCAAACCAGTACGAGTACGCTATATATAATCACTAATCCACCCCATTTTTTGGATGTTGGAACTTGAATTAAGCTTTGCTCTTCACCCCAAACCAAAACTATTTGGGTAGCTGTAGCAATCACATAAGGTATACCCATGTGATTGGGGCGTGAAAAGCGTGTGAATTAATAGGCGCGTCAGGCATTGCTTTGTTCTGCTGCTCGCTTCCCTCCCTCCGCTGACAAATACAAAGAAATGGAGTAAAAGAGTGTCACTCACTTGGGAAATGGACACCCAGAAGCAGCTACCAAGCAAGCTCTAGGGTTTTCTGGCATTTTCAAAGCCAACATCTGCTAATTAGTACTATCCAACCTTTTGCAATATTAGCCACCCCAGTGAGAGGCAGAGATCTTTCTGGTAAGACCAAATGTCATGTTTTTTAATTATGTGAACGATATTCTAATTTAATCTAAACTAGGGAGCGAGGGATTCAAATTATATTTTTGTGTCATGGTTTTCATTGCAAAACTTTTCCCATTTTTATACTATCCTTTCAACTTGATTTTACTCTTATTTGTTCCCTTCTGTTGAAAATGTGTTTCCTTTTCTGGGTTTCAAGAGCTTGTTTTAGCCTATGAATTTCTGGGTCGTGTTGCCTTTTTATTGAAAATGTGTTAACTTTTCTGGGTTAATAGCCTTTTTCTGGGTTTAAAGAGCTTGTTTTAGACTGAATTTATGGGTTCTGTTGCTTTTAGTTTGTTGTTACGTTATATTTGTTTTTTGGTTTAATTTACATGTTTGGGAACTTGTGGTTCTGAATGAAAATGTGGGTTTGTGGTATTTTAGCTCAAAGTCTCTTACTTTGCAAGCTCTGGTTTCAAATGCAATCTCTGGTTTTTTTAAGAGTTACTGGAGAAGAAGAGCTTAAGCTTCTTCCTTTTCCTTAGTTTTTTTCTTTTAAAATGTTTTGGTCCAGAACATTTCTTTTTTCCTATTTTGCTAACCATGAAGCTCTGTTCCCAGATTCTCTCTTTAAGTTATTCATGTATTAATTTTCTGTAGATCTGTTGTTCGAATCCATTGTTTCGTAAATCTATGGGTTTCATTAATATATTGGTTCTGTAATTTACTATAATTTAAGAACACTTCTAATTTCATTTGCTTGCATTGCTGCTTTTTAAGGATATTATGTCCTAGTTTTTAATTTGCAGAAAAGGTTAATCAAGAAATATTTGGGTTTTTCATCAAACAAACAGAAATGGGGTTCATCTGTGCTCTGCTGGGCCCAGTATGCCCACAGTTAATCAGCTATTAACACAAAGACCCTCCTTTAATCATTGGCAATTTGGCATTATTGATGCAAAGTAAAAATTAACAAGCGGCAATCAGACGTGGCTAACTTTTGCTGGCCCCTTGTGTCTTAAATCATTTGTTTGGAACATAGTATAAAGGTGGGCAAAGGAGAAGGGCAATTGAAAAGGTTGTGATATAGCTTGCTTAATGATACTCAATGAATCTTGAAGCTGCAGCTTTCTTTCTTACATACACACACACACACACACATATATCTATTGACTGTTTTGTGGGATTGGTTGGTAGTAGTGGTGTTAGTTTTAGTGGGATTTCTTTGAAGGCAGGTATTTGTTTGTTTGTTGGGTTTTGTAGTAAAAAGGGATCTAAGGTGGCCATCTTTTGTGAGCCATTTTTCTTGTGTTTTTATTTGCATATATATATATATATGTATGATATTCTCTTTGATGTTTCTCTCTCAGCCAATGATTGTTTCTCTGAACTACTTCAGGTGTTGTGGGTCAGGGGATTTGAAAGGGAGATCGAATTAGGACAACACAATCAGCGGTTATAACAAATAGATGTCGAAGATGCAGACACCAAAAGCAAAGTAAGATCAACATCTATTTGCGTCTTTTATAAGAACATTAACATTTGTTTGTTTAATGTTGTAGTGTGCTAATAATCACTATTAGTCTTCGAATCTTATGTCCTTTTTTGCAAGTATTTTGAAACATTGGCCGTAAAAGCAACGGCGACACAATAAGGTAAGAAAACGAAACAGGATAGTCTTTAGAGTGATACATATCGTATTTGTATTTGGCCAATGCGGAATTCGTGCTATGTGCCAGTATCACCAGAATTCGTGTTATATTGTAAGAATCTTTTTTCTTTCCCTTTTCTGCCTAAATTATTCTCGCACTGTATCTGAAAGATCCTTGTTGGAGTTAGACTGCTATGGAATTTCTTCGTCATTTTCTAGTATATATCTAAGAAGCAGCTTGAGCAATGCTTGGGTGACTTATGCTTAATCAGTCCAGTTATGGGTGAATCCACTTGAAGCAAAATTGTATTTGCATCTATAAGTTGAATCTATCTTTTTTTTGTGTTTCGTGTTCTTGATGCATCAATTTGTGCAATTTCTCTTTATTTTTATTTTTTGATGCATGTCTTCTAATATTTAAATGCCTTTCCTAATCGATAGCAGAACTGGCTCTTTGGAAGTGCCTCAAAGGAGATCTCCAGTAACACCTCGAACTACCAAGACACCTGGATCAGAGCCTGATTCGATATCTTCTCCAAATATGGCAAAGAGGACTCCGAAAAACAGAAGTCCAAAAGTCATTGAGCGCAGGTCACCACAAAGCCCAGTACCTGAGGTATTCTTTTTGAGAACTTATAGCTTTGTGAATTATGGAAGGTTCTCTAGTGTTGCTTCTTATCATACTTGGAATAGCTAATGCATCCAAAACTGTTGAAGTGTATTGATCGTCTACCCTTTGATATGAAAATATCATAGTTTTAATTAGTTTACTGCCCCTTTCTCTTGTTTTGAGCTTCAGAAAAAACAACAGAAAAGAGTTTCAGAGTTGGAAACACAACTTGCTCAACTCCAAGAGGATCTGAAGAAGACAAAGGACCAGTTGAACTCAACTGAGTCACTGAAGAGGCGATCCCAGCAGGAGGCTGAAGAAGCGAAGAACCAGATATTAGCCATGTCTGCGAAGCTTGAAGAATCCCAACAGCAACTTATGGAACTTTCTACTTCTGAAGATGCTCGTCTTCAAGAACTTCGTATACTGTCTCAGGATCGGGATAGAGCATGGGAGTCTGAACTTGACGCTGTCCAACAGCAGCGTGCTATGGATTCTACTGCCCTGGCTTCTGCTATGAATGAAATTCAGAAGCTAAAGGGACAGCTCGAAAGGGTGGCTGAGTCTGAGGATGCCCAAAACAGGCATGCAGAGTCAGCATATGGTGAGATCCAGACCTTGGGAATGGAACTTTCCGAAACTTTATCTCTGGTTGAGAAATTGAAGACTGAGCTCAATGAATGCAAAGAATCTGAATCCCAGGCCCTAGAAGTTATACAAAGCACTCATATGCAATTGGAAGCCGCAAATGCAACCATAGAAATGCTCAAATCGAATGGGATGAAAGCCATGGAATCTTACAACTCCCTACCATTGGAGTTGGAGCAATCCAATGCTCGAGTTAAATCACTGGAGGGTCTTGTGAGCAAACTTCAAGCAGAACTGATTAATAGGAACGGAAATCATTTGGTAAACTCTGCAGACAATGTAAAACTTGTCAAGGAAGGTGAAGAAAATGAAGAAAGAAAACAGTTACAAGCAGAACTGAATTCTTTGAAATCCGAAGTGGGTCAATTGAGATCTGCATTGGATGCAGCTGAGGTCAGGTACCAGGAAGAATACATACAGAGCACATTGCAGATTAGGAATGTGTACGAGGAACTTGACACTGCGAAATCTGAAGCGTTGGAGAGGGAAGCTGAGCTGGCAGCAGAAATGAAGAAAGCAAAGGATCATATTGAAGACTTGAGAGCACAGCTAATGGATAAGGAAACTGAATTAGAGAGTACATCAGAGAAAAATGATGGGGTTGCCGTGAAAATTGAGAAAAGTATAACTGAAAATGAATCCAAAATTGCACTGGAGCTAAAGAAGTCGGAGACTGTAATGGTAGAGTTGAAGGCGAGTTTGTTGGATAAGGAGACAGAATTGCAGAATATAGCTGAGGAGAATGAAATGCTCAAGATGGAACTTAAAAACAAGGAAACGGAGAGGAATAAAGTTAATGACGATGCTGTTGTTTCGGCAGAAGCTGCAAGGGCTGCAGAGCGAGAGGCTTTGATGAAACTTGGCTATGCGACAGAGGAAGTACATAAAAGTACCAGGAGAGCCGCACGGGTGACTGAGCAGCTGGATACAGCACAGGCTGCAAATTCTGAAATGGAGGCTGAGTTAAGGAAGTTAAAGGTGCAGGCGGATCAGTGGAGGAAGGCTGCTGAGGCAGCTGCTGCCATGCTTTCAACTGGAAACAATGGGAAACTTGTCGAGAGAACAGGTTCTCTTGACTGCAACAACTACAATCCCTTGAGTTCACCTTATTCAGAAGACATGAATGATGACTCGCCGAAGAAGAAAAACGGGAATATGTTAAAGAAGATCGGCGTCTTATGGAAGAAGGGCCAAAACTAGTCGGAATTATGGGACAAGTTGCTTATCATTGCTCGTTATTATTTTGTTGGATTCAGTATGTTCTGTTGTAATCTTGACAGGTATTTTGGAGGGTACCCAAGTTTCGTATGGAGGTAAAGACCATGTTTGCAGACTGTATGTGGAAACTAGCGAACTTTTTAGAAGTCCTATCTCACCTGATGTATCGCTATGGATTAGACTTGATTAATGTTGTATTTTACTTTGAGTATTTCCATATATGTTAATTAAAGCACAATGCAGTTCGTATTTCATTACCATTCAAGGTTGCATTATGTTAATATTGACCTAATGCATCCAGTCCCTTGTAACGAACGGACCTTCCGGATTCAAACCGGACACTGTCCCTTTTCAGGACTAAAGGGTTCAAAATGCACAAGCATCTTTTCGCCTTTGCGCTAAATCTTCCGCCTTGTCACATAAAATCCGGGGTATGCTTTGTGTTGTTTCAAGTTTTGCATCTATGTTTCAAGTTAGAAAGATGAAGAAAGCAAGTGGTGGATTACCCTAGTGGATAGGACATTCCTCTTCAAATCACTTGGTCTCGGGTTTAAACCCTTTATGGCTCCTCTCCTTAGTGTAGCTTGGAGTTAGAGTAGTAATATCGCTTGTAACGAAAATTTAAAAAAAAAATGATGAAATGGATAACAATAGAAGAATATTTTGAGGGTCAGCTTTAAGCAACCTTCTCCTATAAATATAATAAAACGTAATTGAGAATTCTAACCTCAACGATAAAAGCATATGCTTCTCTCAGCAATCATGGGTAACAAAAGACCTTAGCATGAAATATTGTTCTCATTAATGATGGATATCAAAAGACCCGAGCATGCATAAATTATTATGCCGTCTACTAAAAGCAAATTAAACACAAAATATTTGGAGTTATTTTAATTCTTGGCGGAGAATTAGATGGAGATCTCAACCATAGAATACAAGCTGGATGGATGAAGTAGAAGAGTACATCCGGCGTGTTGTGTGACCGCCGTATGCCACTGAAGCTCAAGGGAAAATTTTATAGGACGGCAATAAGGTCGGCAATGCTGTATGGCACAGAATGTTGGGCGGTGAAGCATCAACACGTACACAAAATGGGTGTAGCGGAGATGAGGATGCTTTGTTGGATGTGTGGGCACACGAGAAATGATAAGATTAGGAATGAGGATATCCGAGGTAAAGTATGAGTAGCCGAAATTGTAGGAAAGCTGAGAGAAAATCGGTTACGATGGTTTGGACATGTGCAAAGAAGGCCTACTGACGCTCTGGTTAGACGATGCGACTACGGGACAGAGGTTCAGGGCCGAAGGGGTAGAGGAAGACCTAGGAAAACTTTGGAAGAGACTCTAAGAAAAGACTTAGAGTACTTGGATCTAACGGAGGACATGACACAAGACCGAGCACAATGGTGTTCTAAGATTCATATAGCCAACCCCACTCAGTGACTTGGATTTTTCAAGTCTCCAACCGAGAAGTTTTCCTCACTCGGGAAATTAAGGGAACACTACCTCAACCTACATGCTCAACTCACAAAGCTTTAACATACAAGCTTCAACAAAAGAAGAATTCAACGAACTTAATGAAGAAGGCTTTGGTGTATTTAACACAATACGTTGAAATGAAGCAAAACTTATTTATTGATATCTCCGATAAGTTACAAATATGTACATATACATGAGTCAAAATAAACAAACAAGAGAGAGCCTTCACAAAGGTTGCTTAGGAGAAGTCTCAGCAGTCGGTAGAGCCCCAGAAAGAGAAGGTACCGGAGGGTGATCATTCGGAGCCTTAGTACTGGACAGAACCCTAGAAGGAGGAGGCATCGGAAGTTGATCATTTGGAGCTTCATTACGCGGTACAGCCCCAGAAGACAAAGGCAATAAATGTCTTTGGAACAAACCCACAAACCTCTGATGATCAAGTAAAATCTGACCATCAGATTCCTTCATCTGGTCAAGCTTCCTCTTCATGTTTGTAGCATAGTCATGTGCGAGCCGGTGCAACTGTTTATTCTCATGCTTGAGCCCTCTAATCTCTTGTTTGAGACTTATCACTTCAGCCGCCAATGATTCAACTTGGCGGGTTCGAGCAAATAGGCGTTGGGCCATATTAGACACATAACCTGCACACTAAACATTAAGAGCCAGAGAATCCTTAACAGTGAACTCATCAAACCGTTTGGAAAGTAGTGTGTTATCTTTGGGTGTAAGAAGATTCCTGGCCACCACCGCAGCGGTCATATCATTCTTCATCACGGAATCCCTAACGGTAAGAGGACCAGTAGGGGATAAGAAGGATGGGCGTCATATATAGTCTGGAGAAGGCGTGTCTGCCTCTTCAACAAGGTTCAAGTCAAAACGACGGTCGGAGGGGCCAGACATTTTCAAAGGTGTTGAAGAGAGAAGAGGTCGGACAAATCAAGATCTTAGAAGTGCAAGAATGGAGCTTCTACTGGTGGAGATTCAAGTGTGCTTTGGAACTTAATGCCAGCCTCTATAAAAATCTGCACTCGACGGAGCTTCAGAAATCGAAGAGGCGCTTGCTCAGAAATTGAAGAGGCGTTTACTTTCTCAAAAGTTGGGCTGCTCAGAAACCACGAGGGCCAATCTCAGAAATCGAAGAGGCGTTTGCTTTCTCAAAAGCTGGGCTGCTCAAAGACCACGAAGGCTGATCTCAGAAATCGAAGAAGCGCTCGCTTTCTCAAAAGCTAGGCTGCTCAGAGACCACAAGGGCCGATCTCAGAAATTTGAAGAGGCACCTGCTTTTTCAGCCTTGTCAGCACCTGTCACATGCACACTCAGCTTTGGGAAATTACGGGCATTCTGTCGAAGATTTCTGGTAAAGTATAAAGCACGTGAATCTTAATGTTCAATCATCCACTTTCCACACGCAACATCAGCTCATGGGTACCACAGATAACTTTGCCAAAGATCTCTGACAAAGTTTAGACATGTGAAGCTTGCAGCTCCCACTACATCGCTATGACCAAGAAGGGTAAAAGAATAGCAAAGAAACAGCACTAACAAAGTTTAGACACATAAATTTTGAAGGTCTAGCTACCATATTATTACCCACAAGGGTAAAGGAACAGTACCACTACTGGATAATTGGAAAGTCCCTGTGTGTCAACCTCTGTGCTCCATGACAAAGTAGACTAGCAAACATGCCCAACCTTTACTCATAGTCGAGAAAACACTCCCAACAAGATTTACTCCAAACTTGAAGAGGCACCGCCCTCCAAATCTCGAGAGTCAGACTCCCAACATAATTACTTTCTCAAAAATTGAAGAGACACCGCTCTCCGAATCTCGAGAGCCAGACTCCTAGCAGGATTGCTTTCTCAAAAATCGAAGAGGCACCGTTCTCCGAATCTAGAGAGCCAGATCCCCGACAGGATTGCTTGTTCGAAAACCGAAGAGGCACCGCTTTCTCAACTTAGAGAGCCAGATCTTCTTGGATAAAGCTTGTCTGTAATCTTCACACGCAACATCAGCTTTCCAGATACCACAGACCACTTTTTCAAAGTGCTCTGACAAAGTTAAAACACGTGAAGCTGGCAGCTCCCACTACAGGGCTATGACCAAGCAGGGTAAAAGAATAACATTACTACTTGTTGTTAAGGATACTCCTATATATGTCGACCTTCATCCTCAACGGACAGGCAGACCTGCAAAAATGCTCAACCCTTCCTCATATCTAAGAGGGCACTCCCAACGAAGCCTCACGAAATACTCAGCTTTCTTTCCCCCTCGATAATACCTCTGCATACAAGCTACACCAGAGCAAAAATATTTCATATCATCAGGGTTAAAAGCAAGAGTATCCCATATCATGATTTTTCCCTATCTTTTCCTTTTGCCTTGTTCTTACCTGCAAGACAAAGAAAAAAAGAGCAATCAGTCAGCACTTGGAATCAAGCTTTCAGTCAGGAACTGACTGCTTGGAACCCCTTACCTGATTACCTACCTGTCATTGCTCTCGAGTAATCATCTTCAACATCTTATGCTTCCAAAGAAGATACCACATCTGTTTGAGGAACAGATAGGGCAAATGAGAAGGATACAAGGAAGCATGTGGAGACAAGCGTAACAGAACACGTGCCGATACATCCACTACTCTGTCAACAGCAAAAGTATCCCATATCAGCAGGGTCGAACGTACTCTAGATTTGATGGACTTGTTTTGACCTTCAAATTCCTCAGTCAGCCTTATACTCTAGAGGAAACCAGAAAACCCTTCAACCCAGTTCAAGAATAAGCCTGTGGAAAGTTACTTCTTCAAAAGAAAAAATATCTCATATCATCTCTTTTCTTTTTTCTTCTCTTTATCCTTCATGCTGCCTGCAAGATAGAGATAATGAGAACAATCAGCCGGAACTCGAAATCAAACTTCTGATCTGGGACTGATTGCTTAGAGCTCTGATTGCTTACCTTATCTGTCATCTCTTTCAGCAGATCCCCTAGCTCGGCGACTTAAGGGACTCCTACTACATGGTTTGTATCGCGCTTGACCAAGCCTGAAACTACAAGTAAGCTTCAAGTGAAATTGATACATTACCTTGTGCATCTCCAACAATTAAAGATACCACCCTTGGATGGAGGAAGAGTACTTCCAGAGAAGATGCCACATCTACCTATGAGACAGATAAGGCAAGTGAGGACGATACCACACTTCGGTACTTAGAAGTTCGTGATTACTCAACGGCTTGTATCTTGCAAGTCCCCAACTGAGGAGCTTCCCTCACTCGAGAATTTAGGGGAGCACTGTTTGTACCATACTTGACCAATCTCGAAACTACCAAGCACCGATCAACGTTACACCATCAAGGACCCAGAAGAGTTTCCCTCCAACCATGAGGCCAATCACGAAGCAACATGTGTCGACATCAGAAGCCAATCATAGCACGACATGTGCCAACATCGGAAGCCAATCATAACACGATACGTGTCAATGTCAGAACAAGGTTAGAAACTCTCTTCTATAAAAGGAGATCATTCTCCCACAATATTTCCTAATGTCATTTGTACTAAATCATTCACTTGTACTCACTAAAGGAGAGCTTGAACCTATGTACTTGTGTAAACCCTTCACAATTAATGAGAACTCCTCTACTCCGTGGACGTAGCCAATCTGGGTGAACCACGTACATCTTGTGTTTGCTTTCCTGTCTCTATCCATTTACATACTTATCCACACTAATGACCGGAGCAATCTAGCGAAGATCACAAACTTAATACTTTCTGTTGTACCAAAGTCCTCACTG